TCTGCAAGAAGATATAATTAATTATCCATTCTTCTAACAATGTGCATTCAGGTGGTTCCCTCTCTACTCCCTCCACCCCCACTTTTCTTCTGTTCTTTCCATAACACAACTATAAAAGATTCTTGAATCTGCCTTATTTTGTGTGTATGTGAGAAAATTTCTCCAGAGAATATACCTGGGAGGGGAAATGCTGAAGTGTAGGGCACGCACATCTTCAACCTTATTAGAGAGTGTTGATCTACTTCTCTAATGTTCTTTCATTGCTGTTATAGCTACACAGTATCCTATTAAAATCATGTACACTACTTTTTTAAATCTAGTGTTGTTAAAACAATATTAGATGTAAAATCTTTCATGTTGAGATGATTGTGCTAGTAGAGTGCTTGAGAGCTTGGAAGGCTTCTGGAGTATTTTAGCTCATTTGATCCATGATGAGAGTCAGGTCAGTTATTACCCTTGCTCCTTTTTTATCTTCAGTGAAGATGATGGAACTAAAGTCCTTTCACAGTTACTGAGGTGGCTCAGGGGAGATCTGTGACTGGTCAGTGCCTGGGAAACGATGGTCAAGGCAGAAGACCACAACAAAGAGCAGGAGGAAACAGGCCTTTTTGTGGCACCTGTGACAATGCAGGGTATCAGCTCACAAGCTGCTCCTGGACAGCATTGTCCTGGAAAAGGGGGAAACAGATGGCCCATTAATAGGAACCTGATAGCATTGTTTGGGGTTGGGCAGGAGGTATCCTCTGGGGGACCAGGAGAGAAGTTTTCAGCTAAGAGCCACAGCAGCATGGAGGAGGAGCTTGCAGTGGCCACTTCCTCAGGCCTCTGCCCTGGGAGGAGCCCAGAGAGGATGGGGGCGCATAGCTTCCATTGTGTGCCTGATGCTGTGTCTGCCAGAACTCCCCTGAGGAGCCAGGAGTTTTGACTCAAGGGTATAGGTGTATGTGTGTGTGTGCGGGGGGGGGGGGGGGGGGGTAGGGGCGTGGGAGAAAGGCTGCCATGATGAAAGTTGAGGACAGAAATGACTTTGGGGCAGGAATGCCTAGGATGGGGAAACACATTAACCAGAGGTATCTAGGGCATGTGTAATGCCCACTCCTGGTTCTACCTTTCTCCTTTTTATGTGCTGGCTGTGTGTCCTGAGCTTGAATGGCTCTCAGCTGAATAGAGCTGCTGTGCATTGCTTCTCTTAAGAGTGGTGGGGAAACGTGGTTTAAAACCAGAAAGCCAGGCTCTGCCACTAACCAGCTCTGTGACAGTGGGAAAGTCCCTTAGCCTTTTGGGATTCTTATCCCATAAGAGATGCCAAGATTCCTTTTTTGCTACAGGCCTGTCCAGTGCCTACTCTGCAGATACAGGGTTTGTAGGCTGCTGTCAGGAGTTGAAAATTAAGTATGAAACGATCCCATCTCAATGCTTTTTCTCTAGTTATGGCCTTAAGTTCTGTAATACCTAGCCCCTGGCGAGCAACTGAGTATCAAGGAAGCAGAGTGAAGGTTGCTTTGGAAACAAGGAAAAGGAAAACAGAGGTTTGATTGGCCCTGAGGTTCCTTCCGTGCTTCTGCTGTTTGCTTCACTGAGGAGGTAGAGTGAGTCACACACGTTGTTCTCAAACTGAGTGAAGATGCCTGTGCAGCCGAGGCCACTTCCTGAAATCCTTGTAATCTACTACACAACGCTGACACAGGGTCAGGATGGCACAGGCACGCTCTGATTCTCCCTGGATGCCACTTACACATCGCTTGTCCTTTAAACTGGGCACCGCAGAGTCCCATCCTCTTGCCTGTTCTGTCCTCCTCATGGAGTCTCCACCTGGCTCATCACATGCATGCCCATGGTCACCTGGAGACCTGTGACACCCCAGCCCCAGTTCTCCAGTCTGACGCTCCCCTCTAAGTTCCAGGTTAAGTGGCTACTAGACACCTCCAGTCAGATGTCCCACAGGCATCTGTACTCTGCAGCCCAACTGCACCCCTCATCCTCACTCCCGGCTGTCTTCTTTCTCCAGTGTTCTCTATTTGGTGACTGATAGCAGCCTCACCAGGCTCCTATAATTACCACCCGGTGAGGCCTCCCGAACCCATCACTGCAGTTTCTGCTCACATCCAACCAGCTAGCATTGACTGACATTCCCTATACCACTGTGTTTGTGTTTCCTCAAAGGATTACTTCCTTTTTTAAGCCAACTCTTCTGTGGTTCTGTTCCCTTTAGGGTGACTTGGGAGGCCTGGCTGCCTTTCCTACATCTTACCACCTTCCTTCTTCATTGTCTCCACCCGCCAGCCATCTTGTGGTGAAAGGGGGGCCACCGGCCCTTCGCTTTTCTTCAGACCTGGCTGGTCCCCATCAGGTTTCTTTCCCTGGAGTCCCTCCTTCTTCCCCATCCCAAGCCCCTCACCTGGCTGCCTCCTTCCTCCTCACTTTTCAGGACGCCCCATAGCATCTCCTCCTCTGGAGGCTTCCTTGGCCCTCTCACCCAGGTCAGTGACTCTTCCGAGGAACCTTCATGGCATCCTGCAGCGACCTTTATCACAGCACTGATGACATCAGTTCAGGTTATCCTCTGAAGTGGGACATGGTGATGATCTATTCTTAGCTCCCGACACAGTGCCTCATTCTCAACATCTGAGGCAAATAAACCCATTTTATAAAGAAAGAAAGAAACTCCAAGTTGTCTCGGGGTGGCAGAGGGACCCAGGGTTCTAATGTCTCCCATTGTATTTGTGAAGTTTGCAGCAGAGACAAATCCCCATGGATGTCCACAGGTTCCCACAAACCCTCAAAACTAGCTGATTGCTTAGATTTCCATGTACCATCTGTCACCAGCTCCTCCACTTTGCCCAAGGAGTTGACCAATCACCTGCGGTCCAGGAGCTGGTGACTCACAGGTTCCTGAGTATCATTGCCGAGTTTAAGAAAAAGAAGGTAGAAAATTGAGTGTCAGCTGTCCAGGTGCTGGGAGTCAAAGATGATAACTTGCCCTCAGATGTCCGTGCCTTCAACAGAAGTGGCTTGTAGAACCAACGAGCTCCCGCCATGGAATCTGAGGCGCAGCTGAGAATCTGGGCGTGGGGTGGGTGGAAGGGGTGGAGGCAGTTATCCGAAGGGTCCATATATCAGATTGTTCCTGGAGAAATCACTGCAGAGACAGCCAGCCAGAAAGGAGACTGGTGGTACCCCCTTTCTCCCTGTCCTCTCCTCCCTATTTCTTGGCACTTTGCCTGCCATCAGATTAATAAAATTTTTTAACTCCCGATAGGAATGACAACCTCATGGGGAAAAACTGGATGGAAGATTAAAACAACATCAAGAAGTAAAAGATTTTCCTGTATACGGGCTTAAACACTTGCTTTGTACAAGAGGTTGTGAATTAATATCTTTGTCTCGGGTGTAATTTTTCTCCTCGAATCCTTAGAGTAGTTTCCAGAATTGTAAAAGCTGTTTCCATAGCCATGTCTGAAGCTGATGGGGCCCAAGTACCGTCATCTCCATAAGGGATGAGAAAGGTATTGGCTTCAGACGCCAATGTGCAACATAAATTAAGATGTTAAAACACACACACACACACACACAAAATGCTTGAAAACAGTAATGCCTTAACAAAAACCTGTAATGATTTTTCCTATGCAAAAGGGTAGGACTTACAAAACAAATGATTAGAAGTATAGGTTAGATTTAGAAAGGAAATCTGAATAGAATAATTCCTTTCCACGGACAACAATATTTGATGTTAAGTTTGGTTATTATACTATTAAATGAATTTACATACATAAAATGAAAGTTATACTTTTCATCACAAAAGTGCTTTTTAATTTAGAAAACATTAAGTCACTCTATGTTCCCTTATAGGCATTAATGCATTGCTTACATTAGAAATTATGTTTAGAAAAATGTGCTTGCCCATACCTTTTCAGAGCACAGCTTTCAGAATAGGAAATGATTTCCAAGTGGAAATTGAGAGAACATTAGGGTGGCTGTTGTGTTTAAATCTTGATATTCTTATTGAAGATTAGTCACTTGAAGATTCAACAGCCAGGGAGTATCTGGGATCTGCCTGACCTCAACCAGAACTGGCCCTGTTATCCTTTCCTTAGCCTCAGGAAGAAAATCCAGGCCAGGACTTCCAGGGTCCAGAAAGGACCCTCCTCTCTGGTTCACAGGGGACCTCTCAGTTCCTCAGGTCAAATCTCCCCTCAGTCAATTCTTAGCTGTGAGACCTTGGGCAAGTTATTTAAATTTCTTTGTGTCTCACTTTCTTCATCAGTAATTTAGAGATAACAGTCCCTCTTTGTAGGTTTGCTGGAGGGTTAAATCATTGTATGTAGTCTTAGGACAGTTTATGACTGGTGCCTAGCAGATCCTCAATAAATATGAACAATTCCTGTGTTATGATTGACATTGGAAAGCTCCCATGCTTTCTAAGGAACTGGCGTGACTAAGAGAGACTAAGTACATACAATCAGACTGTGCTGTAGAGCAAATTACTCAGTGAACAGACAAAAGAATTTAGATAAAACATCTTGTCTTCAATGCCCTAGCATCAATTGTTAAAACACACACACACACACACACACACACACACACACACACACACACACACACACACACAAAACAATGGGGGGAAAATCCTGGCAAGGGGACAAGTTTGGAGAATTGTCTGAAAGCGATCATTGTGTTCAGGTGGCCTGGCAGGCTACTGTAAACAGGAGAGATAGCTGTGAGGAGGAAATCAGAGCCCATTGTGGGCCCATAAAATGGATGTCTTTTCAACTAAACAGATCGCTATCAGTCTAACAGAGGGACTCAGGTTCCTTTCTGCTGGGCCATTTCCTTTATGTCTGTCAGAACCACCCAGGCGGGTGTTTCTCAGGACAGCAGGCTTTTAGGTCAAATAGAAAACCTGGGAGTGCCTGAAAAAGCCCGACACAGGCGGGTAGTGACGCACGAGCTGGATGACATCACCCTCCCTGCTGCGGGTGGCGTGGAGGCTGCGGTGCCCGGATTTGTGCAGCTTCTCTCGCGGGGGAGCACCAGCAGCCAGGACCACAGAGAAGGGCTTTGTGCTGATGTAGCTGAAGGCTTCCCGGCTGAGAACCGCCCGCCCCTTCGTTCATTTCAGAAGCTGGGACATCCTCCACGCGTTGTCATCCTCCCGCAATCCAGGATGGACAAGACCCAAGAGCCCCCGGCCATGACTGTCCACCTGCTGGCCAGCTCTGGGCAGGGTGCGCTCCTGCAGCAAGCTCTGGACCAGCTCCTGGGCTGCCTTTGCCCAGAGGTCCGTCTCTTCATGGTGTCAGAGCGGGTCAGTGCCGTGAGAAACTATGACAAGTGCCACCCCAAGCGGTCCCGGTTCCCAGGGATGTCTGTTCTGCTCTTCCTGCACCACAGCCGCGGAGAGGAGCGGCTGCTTCGAGTTCTCCACTTGCTGCGGCAGTGGCCCTGGCAGTGCTACCCCGGCCTGAGCCTGCAGGGCAGCCCGTGTCCCTACAGCCTCGCCGGTCAGGAGTTCTACACTCTGGACAACCACATGCCCGTCTGGGGCGTGAGGCAGGTGCACTGCGGCACCGAGGTCCTGCGGGTGACGCTCTACTGCACCTTTGATAACTACGAAGACGCCATCAGCCTCTACGAGATGATCCTGCAGAGGGAAGCCACCCCGCAGAAGAGCAACTTCTGTTTCTTCGTGCTCTACGCCACCGAGAGCTTCGCCCTGCAGCTGTCCCTGAAGCAGCTGCCCCTCGGAATGTCGGTGGACCCCAAAGAGTCGTCGGTGCTGCAGTTCAAGGTCCAAGAGATTGGCCAGTTAGTGCCTCTCCTCCCCCATCCATGCGTCCCCATCAGCCGCACCAGGTGGCAAACGCAGGACTACGATGGCAACAAGATTCTGCTTCAGGTATCTCTGTTTTGCCTCTGTGACCTGGTAGACACACATGGGATGGTGTGATTTTACATTCAAGGTGGGCCTGAGAGATGATTGAATGTGGGGTTCTCAGCCTAGGTTGTGTCTCAGAACCCCTGGGAAGCTTTAAAAAATTCTCAGGACATGCCCTAATGGGTTTGGCTCAGTGGATAGAGCGTTGGCCTTTGGACTGAAGGGTCCCAGGTTCCATTCCGGTCAAGGGCATGTACTTTGGTTGAGGGCACATCCCCAGTAGGGGGTGTGCAGGAGGCAGCTGATGGATGTTTCTCTCTCATCGATGTTTCTAACTCTCTATCCCTCTCCCTTCCTCTCTATAAAAAATCAATAAATATATTAAAAAGAATTCCCAGGACAGTAAGATCAGAATCTCCAGGGGCACCCAGGCCTGGGCATTTCTTAAAAAGCTCCTCGGATGATTCTAATATGTAGCATGTAGTGGTGTTGAGAGTCACTGATCTTGTAAAATCCCCCTCATGGGACAGATAAGCAAGTTCAGACTCTGTGGACAGACAGCTGCTTCTGAACCATTTGCTGATCCACTGCTTGTTCTCAGGAAACAAGTTTGTCTCTTCAGAAAGTATGTATATTCCAGAAGCTGGATTGCTGTAAACAAGCATGCATTTCTTTTCATTTTATCAACAGACATGGAGCTAAGTTCATCCTTATGTCCTTTTTAGCCATTAAAATAAAGGAACATAGTCTTTCATGAAATAAGTAATTCATTTTCTTCTTCCATAGCATTTCTTGAAGTCTGCTTTCTCATTTCTAAGTCTCTCAACGGCACTCACTCGGACTCTGTTCCTCTCTCTTTGTCTTGCTCATTTTCTTTCCATTCTCCATCCCTGTCCCTCATCTACCCCACACCTAGCCTCTCTCTCTCTCTCTCTCTCTTTCTCCCATTCCCACGCTCTCACTCTCAATAGTTTGGCTTATGCTGCCTTGGAAGAACACGGGTGGGCATTTCTCTGAAGGCTGCCATAGGATAGCAGGGTAATATCAGTGGTTTGGGTTAATCAGTTAAAATAATCAGTTAATTGAAAGAAACGGGTTGCAGCTCTTAAGTAAGCAAGCCTGGCACTGTGTGGGGGCTGCTTACTATCTCTATAACTCATTTCCTTGCTATTTCTCCCTCCTCCGTTTGGAGAAATCCTTTTTGCTATCTCTTGGGACCACATTCAGTAAAAGACAATATTATTTTCCCTGGATGATGTCAGTCTGCCCCTTACAAGCTTAATCATTTTTCAGTGATGTGTATTTTCTTGTTTCTGAAGTGTTTAGAATCAGTAGAGTGACCAGTGATCTTCCTGTTCATCGAGATAGTTGCTACTGTTCCCTGAAACCTGAAAAAAGCTAGCTCTCAATTTGTAACATTTTACAAGCATTTCTTAGAAAGATGGGGTCTAAATGATCAGAATTTTTACAAGTGTGTGTCAATTTATTTACTTTGGCAGGAGGCGCTTTGTTCTCCCTCAAGGGATATATCTCCACCACTCAGCATTGCTTCTTCTAAAAACGCCTCATTCCAGCTGCACACATCTGCATTTCTGTTTTAATAATGTTGTACTCACTTTTGCCACATGGTCTAAGGAGTTTAGAATTTTCTTTTAAAAAGAAAGTGGACATTTCCTCCTCTTAAAAAGATTTCAGAAATGGCCAGCCATGTGATAAAATAACTTTTCATTTTCTTGATAATTAAAATACCTAATGTCAAATAATTAGGGGCCTAATTTATAGGTTCTACATTTCTATGTGCAAAATTTTACATTTGGGGGATTCAGGTTTATTTATTTATCTAACAGATATCTAGTGCTTGTTTACCATGTGCTAGGCACTGTGCCAAGTACTGGAAAGTATAGGCTGGCAGGAGAGGTAGCAATAGTATTAATTACGATTGTATACCCAACTCATATTTAGCACTACTATGCCCCAGGCACTATTATCACTTAATCCTCTCAAAAGCCCTGTGACACTGACACTTAGTTATCTCATTTTATAGATGAGGAAACAAGGGCACAGGAATATTAGGTAATTTGCCTGAAGTCCTCAAAGTAATAAATGGCAGAGCCAATATTTAGGGGCATCTAACTCAGATTCAGTGATATCAAGAAGGCTTCCAAGAGAAAATGATGTGTAAGCTTGGAGTTGACAATGAGTAGGAGTTTTTAGGAGAAAAGATTAGAGGAGACATATCTCAGACAGAGGGAATAATATACACAAACTCTGGCATTAGGAAAGAACAAACAATGTCCAACAAATTGAAAGAAGTTCAAGTTTGATCGGTGAAGCTTGAAAGGCAGGAAGTGGTGAATTATCAGGCTGGAGTAAGAAGGGGCAGACTGTGATGAGTGCGGTAGGCCATCCTAAAGGGCTGAGACTTAATCTCAAGAAGAGTACGAAGCCCTTAAAGCAGGAGGGTGACATGATCACAACTGTTTCAAACTCCTCTGGTGGTGAAGTGGGGAAGGGATTATTTAAATGAGGTGTGCAGCCCGCTGGTCGTGAGTTTGACATGCTTGGATTAGAGGGAGGTAAGAGCATCCATGGGGAATCCCTTCAGATGGCTGTTGCAGTGATTCAGATGAGAGATGATGACAGCCTTAGGGTTAATGGCAGTGGGCATGGAGAGGATCTGAGAGATCTTTGGAAGGCAGAGTCCATGGGAATGGTGACATTGGGGATAGAAAAGGGAAGATGATGCTCTTCCCTGCGTAAGATGGGCTAATGTTGTCATCATCTGAGACAAGAAAAAGAGTAAATGGAACAGATTTAGTGTGAGGAGGGAGGTGACATCAATTTTGAAATGTGGAGTTTGAGGAGCTGGGGCCTTGGGTAGATAGGTATGAAGCTTAAGAGACAGATCTGAGCTGTAGGTATACTTTTGGGAGCTTTTGTCATTTAGATAATCATGAAGACATGGGTGTCAATGGGATTGCCATGGGAGAGTGTGTAGAGTGAGAAGAGAAGAGGGCCCAGGTTAGCATTGAAGAACTAACAAGCTAACAGAGGGAAAGCCTCTTTCAATGGACACTGAGAAAGGATGGATGAACAGGAAGCAGAAAATTTAGAAGAGAAAGAGGAGATATTGATATTCAAGAGCAGATGTAGTTGGAGAACTGAGCTGAAGGTCAGAGATGGCCTGAGAGTGCTAGGTTTAAATTGAGTCTTTCAGCGGTGGAGCATTTTAAGACGATAAGGCCCAGGAGAGGGGCCATGGGATGCATGAGCAGAGCTGAGAAGAGGGAGGCACTAGGCTGGCTCAGCAGGACACAGGGACTTCCAATCTGGCTCAGGCAGGCACTTCCTGAACGCCGTGAGATGTCTTGGTGCTGGTTATGGCTTCAAGACCAATTTTGTTCTGTTCTGAAACTGCTTAGGGGGTTAGGGGAACTAATGCATGCAAGCTTTTCTTTTTGTTCATGGTTGTTAAAAAAATTACATAAAATCCCCAAGAAACAAACTTACAGATTTGCCCATTTTTACTTCTGAAAAATAAAAAAGGAAAAAAATGAGATAACTGAGTAGTTTTCCTTCAAATAGCACAGACACATTCATTGTCTTGCTGTTGAAAATTTGGTCTCAGAAGTTAACATCTGTTAATGTCTCATACCATGCACTTAAAGATAATCAATTAGAAAATGAACCCTTAAAAGAAACCATCAACACCAAATGCTGGTGAGGATAAGGAGTAATTGAAACTATCATTCACTGTTGGTGGGAATGCAAAATAGCACAATCACTTTAGAATATAGTTTGTCACTTTTGTACAAAAGTAAACACACTCTTACCATAAGATCCAGCAATTGTACTTGCTGGTATTTACCCAAATGAGGATGGATTTCCTCCACCAGGTTGGGCAGTCTAGTACCAACCCCGAGCGATTTCTGAATATGGAAATAAACAGGCCTGTTTCCATTCCCAGAAGAAAAGACTTCATTGGATCAAATACAAAGGTAGATATGATGTCAAAGATGGCAGCATAGCATTTTGAAGGATTGTGTTTATTGCTTCTATTCAATTCACCCGACTTACTGAATGTCAGTTATGGGCATGGCCTGGCAGAGGGTGACTAGAACAGTCTATTCTTAGAATGTGGTGAACAGATAACATTGGTTACATTTGTTCATCTTTACTCTGTCCGGTAGATCCAATCGAATCCAGGTCTTGGTGTTAGGAACAGCGAGCTTTCCTTTCTGAATGGCAACCCCGAGGCTGACATGCTTCCCCAGGGATCCAGGGTGACCCCGGTCTCCACAAGGAGGACCCTAGAGCTGAGAAGGCGAAGGAGCCGGGGCAGGAGGTTCAAAGCGGCTTCTCTGGAATTTCCTGAGTCCAGTGGGAACCCAGCATCAGACAGCTCTTGTGGCACATTGTGGAGAAGCCCTGGCTGCTCATCCCAGGTCAGCAGCCCAGCTACAGATGCCCAACTGCCTCTGTGTTCTTCCCACCTTGAACCCGGGGCCAGGATGAAGGTCTTTGGTTGGGAAAATGCCTTTGAGAAGCTGGAGGCAGAGACCAATGTCGACACAGGGCGCACTGTGGTCAACTCTGAACCCAGGAAATCGTTTCTGAGCAGGTTTCCAAGGGATCTGCAGACCAGCCAGCCACCATCAGCCTCCTCCTTAAGGGCAGCTGCCTCCAAAAACAACAAAAACTTGAAGGAAAGCATCCATCCTTTGTCACTTGCTGGCCAAAGGGATCTTGATGCAAGGAAGATAATCTCGAAATGTCTTCATCTGCCAGTTCAGGGTGAAGAAAAAGAAGGAGAAGAAGAATTCTTTATATAGTATAACGCAATGTGGTTTTCTAAGATACAAGATCAAATACAAGGTTCCAGAAATGGAGCACTCTTTCTTGTTCATCTGAGGGGGCCTGTATGCTAGCCATGCACAGGTCTGTATTACTTTTATTTGTTCAAAGTCTAATGGTGTTGTAAGTGGTTGTTTGCAGGCATGGTCATGGTCATAGACACACTAACCCAGCACCTATCAGGATAATTGCATTGTATGGAAATGAGTTGAATGTGTTTTGCAATGTTGATTAGTGTATGTAATTTGGTTTTAATTTTTATTGGGGTTGCATAGCTCATCCCCCTGGACAGCATGGGCTATTTATTCTTTAGTGTTTTAATTTTTATGTGACCTCCTTTTATAACTAGGCCCTGTTCACCACATACCCTCTAGTGATTTAAGTTGTTTGCATCTGGAATGAGTTAACATGCAAAGTGTTTTGAAAATTAGGAATAATTAATTGTTTTTCTGTTTAATGAGCAGAAGCACTGGAAGCCAAAAAAAAATCAGGTTAAAAATGAAAGCTAGGGTTTCCTGCTCCTCCATTTCTCACTTGTTTCTGCACTACTCCGGTGAGACCAGAGGCTCTCGCTACTAACCAGAGAGGAATGTCACATGACTGGGTGATTCGAGATCGCCACAGAGCATTGGTTGGGTTATTGGAGCAGGACTTGGGTTCATCTGGCCATGTTTGAATTCCTAAATTCCTTTGCAATATTCATTCATTCAACAAATATTTACTAGGCACCTAAGTTTGAATCAGACATTGATATATGGTATACATACATTCTGTGGCCATCAAATCAAAAGTGATTATGGTTCCACCAGTTTGATAAATCCATCCTGTCAACTCAAGAATATATTGAAGTCCAAATTTATTCCTCTAAGAACTTTTTCCATAATTCATTCTCACAGTTGCTGCACAAGGCTGTGGAAAGCATTCACAACCTGCAGATGGAGACTGGGCAGATTATGCATTGCAATCATAATCATAATAGACAAATTCTCAATTGCTCATGCGCTGCATTTCTTTTTTCAGTTGGGTCTATACCACATTTTAAAAAGTCTAAGGTCTGTGTGTTTTAGTTAAGTTATAAGGTTATTCTTTTTTATTATATATATGTATTTTATTTTTCAATTACAGTTTATAGTTAATATTATTTTGTATTAATTTCAGGTATACAACATAGTGGTTAGACAATCATATACTTTACAAAGTGTTCCCCCAATATTTCCAGTACCCGCCTGGCACCATACATAGCTATTGCAATATTATTGACTACATTCCCTATGTTTTACTTTATATCCCTGTTACTATTTTTTAATTACCAATTGGCACTTTTTAATATCTTCACCTTTTTACCCAGTTCCCAAAACCCTCTCACCTCTGGCGATCCCCAGTCTGTTCTCTGCATCTAGGAGTCTGTTTCTGTTTTATTTGTTTATATTGTTCTTTTGATTCCACATATAAGTGAAATCATACGGCATTTGTCTTTCTCTGGCTGATTTATTTCACATAGCATAATACTCTCCAGGTCTAACCATGTTGTTGTAAATGGTAAGATGTTATTCTTTTTTATGGCCTAATGATATTCCATTGTAGAATATGTACCACAGCTTGATAAAGGTATTCTATGTTATGAACTTCCTTCTCCAAGACAGATGTCACATAAGACTTCAAATGCTGATCAGCTGGGTCTTTGGGAGACCTGGCTACTTAGTCCACCCAACTGGGGAGAGGGTTGTGCTCAGACCGAAGGACGATTCTTATGGTAGCAAGACTGGGCTGAGTTTGGGGTGCTCTGCCCAGCCCTGGGTCCAAACGAATGACAGTTGCTAATGGACAAAGACATAACTTCTAAATTGATTTTTTGGGGTCGTTACAACATCAATATATTCTCATTCTCATTTTTTTCTCCCCCTCAGATTAAAGGTAGATCTTAAAAAGTGGGTGAAGAACTTAACTTTGGTATGGTTTTCTATAATAACATTTAAAAAATGAAAGTCTTATTTAAGTTGAACTGTTGAGCTTCTTTGAAAAGCCCAGCAGGGGGGTGTTCTGACATTTCATTCCCACCTTTAACAGATTGCCTAAATTTCTTTAACATAATACATGGGTAAGAATATAAGTTCATGGAAATCATGAGAATATTGCAAAATTTGAATGAGTACCTTATAAAACTGACTTGTAAAATAAAACACTCTTCAAATATCACCTGCTCTATTCTGCTCAACGTAGGAATCCAATTTACAACATGATAGGTTGAAAATGCCAGTGGGTGAGTTGGGAGAGGCCCAGATTTTGGTTTCAAGCTTTAAAATTTACTATTTATGAGACCTTGAACTGTCAGCCTCTTTGATCCCCTGTTTCCTTATCTATAGTAAGGAAAGGTTGTTAGAAGAATCAAGATTATGTATATGAAAGCATTTGGATATTGCCAAGCATTATGAATATGCAAAATGGTATTAGTACATGGTCCTTCAGACCCATACTTTTAAAATGTCATGGCGACAAAGGATTTTTTGAAATAGGTTTTAGTAAAATCAATGATACAATAAAAATATAGTGATATAATGATTACAAATAAAAGAAACTTTTCTAATAGTATTAGTATGTGTGCCATTTATTTTCACCTACTGAAGAAGAGAATTATAGATAGCATTCAAGTAGGTTTTAAAGCTCAAAAGAGGTTATACGAAAGAGGTTAACTATACACTAACTTAATCTAATTTATCAAATCAGACTCTACACTATAATGATACTGTATTCCCTAAAATGTAAAATGTATCACTTTTAAAATCCGAGTGACTCTTGTTGATCAGATTTTTTTTTTTTAAATATATTTTATTGATTTTTTACAGAGAGGAAGGGAGAGAGATAGAGAGCTAGAAACATCGATGAGAGAGAAACATCGACCAGCTGCCTCCTGCACATCTCCTACTGGGGATGTGCCCGCAACCCAGGTACATGCCCCTGACCGGAATCGAACCCGGGACCCTTCAGTCCGCAGGCCGACGCTCTATCCACTGAGCCAAACCGGTTTCGGCTGATCAGATTATTTTATTTTTTTCTTATAAGGGTTGCATTGCAGTTGCTTGGCTATTTTTAACCTTATTAATAGTGTTTCACACTTTTTTTGCAAGCATTATTTAGACATTGCTGAACGTGTGATAGCATTTGTTAGTTGGGGGAAGTAGGTCAGGGGATTTGGGGTGCACACACCTTGACTTAGGAAGGGTCATAGACCATACCTCAGCTGCACCCTATCCACTCTGTTCTGATGGGACTTTGTCCAGGGGTCCTGGTCCCTCCACCACTCCCCCAAATCTGCTCACTGCATCCAGTTATGCTTGGAGATGCTGATGGCACAGACAGTAACGGAGAGAAGTGTGGGAGAGGGGGAGACCCTTTCTTCCTCCCAGAGGAAGATGGAGGAACCACAGCACACACCCCCATGTTCTATTGATGAGAACCTTCTAAATTTCATGTCGAGTTATAAAAAAAGGAATGCCTGAAATAACTGAATTCTGTCTCCCTTTCTTGTATCTTCTAAGGCCTCGTGTTTGTTTTTTTCTCTTTTCCTTCTCTTTCCACTTCTTCCCTCCCTCCCCCTCTTCTCTCTCCTCCTTTTTTTTATGTGTGTGCATGAATTTGATACTCTTCATTCTTCCCCGTTTTAAAAAACACTTTGCCTTTCCAGCCTCTCCCAGGGTTCCTCAGGGGCTGACATGTAGCTGCAGCTTCTAAACAGGCCCCTTGGCTAAGCTCTGAGAGACCAAGGAACAAGAGACCCTTCTCTGAAGAAATTCTCCCATTTCCAGGTTATCCCCAGGGTTCTGATCTGGGGCGCTAACCCAACATCCCTTAGAAACAAGTTGGCCTCCCTCCACACTTTCTCTTTTCATGCCTACTAAACCGTTCTCTGAGGTCTGAGATGGTTCTGGAACAATGTTAACGATTGGCTATGGTATGTGATAACAAAACAAAAAGACATTATGGCTCCAGCGAGCACATAATTAAGATTTATGTTAAGAATTTCATCCTGTTAAACTTTATTTTCAAATATATTATTTTAAAAGTCTAGTTATTCCAGAGAATCTTGATGAGGTCTCTGCTTAGCATGAGAAGAAATGTATTATTTTTACAAATTCCATGTTGACCAGATATGTTTCTGAGATGTTTCTTTTAAAGATAATAATTCTAAAGAGGAACGGTATTTCCAAATCTGAACTGATGATAATGGCTGGCCTGGGCAGCGCCTGTTACATGCAAGGTGCTCTTGTATTTCAATCTTTACATCAATCCTGTGAGGTGGGTGCTATGATTACCCCCATTTTATAGATGAGAAAACGGAGGCACAGAGAGATCAAGATCCTAACCAGAACTGCTCAATGAGTAAGTGTCACAGCTGGGCTTAGAACCCAGGTTGTCTGGCTGGAGTTTGTATCCCTAACCACTATCCAACCCTGCCCCCTCAAAGTGGGGTGCAGGGAGGGAGAGCTCAGCTTCAGAATGTGCCCACAGCATCTCCGCACTGTGTGCCTGGCATATCACCCTGGTTTCCTTTCTGCCCCCACTTGTTCTGTCTGCCCCAGACCTGCTTAGATATGAGGTTGAAATGCCTGTCACAGGGGAGCTGACTAGATGACATCCTATTGGAGCAACCCCAGCTTCCAGCCCTTAGCCCAGCACCAGCACCAGAGTAGATGTTCCAGAGTAAAAAAAATTTCCAAAGATTTTGTTCAGTGGATACACAGCAAGGGGACACAGATGAGGCTTCCATTTTCTAGATGCCAGAAGTAAGAAGCTGTTCTACTGGGCTGGGGGAGGGGGGGCGGTGTGTGTGCCTGCCATAAGCAGATACCACTGGCTGGGTGGTTCTAACAGCAGACATTTATTTTTCTCACAGTTCCAGGGGCTGGGAAGTCCAAGATCTAGGTGCTCACATGGTCGAGTTCTGGTGAGAGCTCTCTTCCTGTCTTGTAGGAGGTCATCTTCTTGCTATGGAGAGAGAGAGAGAGAGAGGGTGCTCTGTTGTATCTCTTATAAGGGCACTAATCCCATTAATAAGGGCCCCATCCTCATGACCTAATTACCTTCCAAAGCTCCCACCTCTGAAGACGATCACCATGGGGGTTAGTTAAGGCTTCAACATATGAATCTGGGAAGACACATTCATTCCATAACATAAATGAATCCTATCATTTCTGTCTGTCCTAAGTGCCAGTCTCCTTCTGCCAGCCCCTCGTTTCATTAGCCTTTCCCCCATTTCCCAGGTGTGCAGTTTTCCTCCATCGTCTGTTGACTGCAGACCTATCTCAGCTTGCAACAGTTCCCTCCTCATTTCGTCTATCCTTTTAGTGTATTGCTGCACTTCTCTCTCATAGTCCCTGCTGCTGTGCTCTCTGAACCTCACGCCAAGGTTTGGCCTCCCTCATCCACTCCACAAGCATGTCCTGGCCACCAGATGCCGGCATCTCTTTCCTTTATGTCCAGGACCTTGTCCAGGTTCCCAGCGCCTCAGCCAGTGAGCCTCACATCAAAGGATCCAATTTTGTCTTCAAGAGATGAAGCCACAGGAGACGGTCACAGCAGAAATGATGCTGCTGCTCTCATCACAAGGGTGTTTGAATTCCCGCAGGCATGGATCATGGTTGATTCAAGTTAACATCCATTATAAGTCACGGTCCTTTTTATATCCCTCTCACGGGATAATATTCACATCTTGGAATTTTCTCTGCTTTGGTCTAAGTCGCAAAACTAAGTGTGACTGAATTTCAACAGGACTCTTTAATGAGGTGTGTAAATACTTCCCTTGTTTTTCTCCCTGAACCAGTCTGACATCAGTGGGCACTATTGTGACACAATCGAGTCACTGGGGTAATCTCCAAACTGTGTTTGTTCTGCTTCATCCTGAGAGAGGAAAAGGGGGTATTTTAAAATTAATGTATGTTCAGGAAATTTCCCCATAGGCGTTTCAGTGGGAGGCAGAGCCCACCTGAAACACATTCCATCTGCACCTCTCCTGCCTTGGGCATGAGACACAGACACAGAAACAGACTCTGCCAAAAAGGGTATCCTTCC